GCATGGTGTGGTGGTGAACGCGTTACTCCCCGGAAAGGACAATAGCGCGTTCGTTCCCCACCATAGACACCTGCGGTCCAGAGTTTTGCAAATATCTCAGCAACGTTGTGGTTGTATTTCGCTTAGTACCCTGCCGCGAAATTATAGTAGGCAGAAAATGAAAAGGTATAACATTAATAATAATAATTTTTTTGGAGAATCTGGAACTGGGAACTGAAAAAAAATACGTTCCAAGAATTTTATTGTTAGAGTAGAGGACAGAAGAAAAAGGAGCAGAAACTGAACATGGTGTCAGCCAATAATGCGTGAAACCCAATATACACAGAGCTTAACAATTTTTCTTGAAGGCTTTGTTATTAATATCAGAGCTTTAAAAGTGAGGAATGACCTTCCTTTTGCAAGACAGGAGAATCAGGATCACCATGGAGATGACCCAAGGTAAGGCAAATCGTCTCAAAATTTGTGCCGGCCATTCAAGAGCTGTTCAATTTCGTTTACATCAAATTTGCAAGTCAAAAAAACTTACAAATTAGTGACATGAAATGAACGGAAATCGAAAAATCCTCCATTACAAACAACTCGTCCTACTTTTGCAGGGAAAAAAGACTGCGCCGTTTTCTTGTTCAGCAATCGTGAGGTTGTTATACAGCATACGTTTACTTCCGTACAAAAAGCACATGCAACACAACAGCAGCTGTCATTTCTGCAGCATCGCCTACTTCAGAGCCGGAATCAGCGGTTCTTCCTCAGTGGAAGGCACGTTAATTACGGCTCCGATGAAGGCGATACTGCCCGAAACGTCAGCTACTGTTGTGTTGAATGTTTTTTGCACAGAAGTAAACGTATGCCGCATAATAACCTCGCGACTGCTAAAGAAAAAAACCACGCATTCATAATCCAGTGCCAATGCTAATAGAAAGTCGATCCTAGAAAAAGACTACTCTTTGCTCATTGCTTTATAATATGCGACAAATATTCTAGCATTCTTTTAAGCTTCTATACAAATACAACGTTCAGAATTAAGTTGAAAAAAATAAGTAGACGTATTCCTTGCTTGAGCAAATTCAAATATTAGTAGCTCTTATGTCGTCTACAGAATGTCGTTAAAAATTAAGATGAATCATACACAATTCGTCATGTGGAACTTTGTAACTTGACGTTTGCTTCTACAAAACATGAAAATTTTCTACAGTGCAAGAAAAGTTTGGAGAATTTATGAGGCTATTCGTGATGATAAAGGTTTTCTAAAATACCACTCTCATTCTAAAGTTTTAAAATATCTACCCCAAAAGATATCGAAAAAGTAAACACAAAGCTTAAAAAATCTTTGAAAATATCAAAGTGCAAAATTAAAAAGCCAAAGCAAGATTGACAAGTTCCCACAATAAGGATGTCTTTGGTGGTTATCATCACATCTTGCTGGACGACATCCTATTGCTTTGTGCTCAAAATACAACTAACAATAAATGAAAATTTTTCGAGAGCACCAGAAAAAAAGGTAAAAATTTCATCGTTTTCCAGTGAAATGAAAGCTTTGTAGGCAAAGATCTGTAGATTCTGATTCCTATAATAAAGTTCATTAAAAACTGAGTGTAGATCCAATGTTAAGCACAGTCTTCGCACCAATCTGAAGCATTCCGTTGAAATGAATGCAAAGGTGTCACGTGTTAGATTTGAAAAGGATGTTATCTGTAGCCACTTTTGCATTGGAAGCAATCTATTTTCTTTGCTAAGAAAAACACTAAAACTGTTCTGCTAAGTAGTGAATGTTTCGGCTATGAGGGAACTTTTTCTGATTGACACCCGAAATTTTCTAAAACGCTTAGTGATATCTATAGCTTGAATACCACGAAGAAGTAAATATGTAAAAAAATTGAATAGTAGAAAATGAAGTGAAGTCTTACATCATTGTCAATAACGATCTCATTGGAATCAGTCTTATTCTCTTCCAAAATATAGTACGGGATGTCAACGTTGTCTCGATTTCTCTCAGCAAGCATTTTGTTGAGGTCAGCGATCCCAAATCGAGAGCAAAACTCTGCAGACTGTGGATTCCTAAAACGAAAATCTACTCTCAATGTCAATAAATCACTTCGTACAGCTGCCCGTTTTTACCTGTAATACGGGGTTGGCTTTGCATTTCGCGATTCCGGTGTGTCTTTTTTAAGAGGAGGAGCGGTTTGTCGAAAGTTTTCAGGAATAGTAAGGTCACCGAATTCATTGATAGAAGCTAAGTGCTCATTTGTTGGTCGAAAATCCCATTGTTCATCGGAATTCGAAGATGACGGGAGATAAATATTCTTTAAAAATAAATAAAAAAGATTACAATGATAATCATGAAAATAGATTCTGATCACCGATGACGAAATGCTGGTAAAACTATCAGTAAGTTTTAATATCGCAAGCCATTGTGGATCATACGATAGCTTAAGTTCAGCATCAGCTGCAATATCCATTTCGAGTGCCTGAAAACTAGTTTTAAAAACCTAAAAATGCAATTAAAGAAGTCAAAAAGCAGTCAAAGATGTTCGCTTACAAACTATAAATAAATACAAATGAATGGCAACATTGCGTTAATAGAAAAAAAAACGTCACCTGGACAAAATGTCTTTGAGGAATCGGTTTGTCCAGTGCCAGAAATCGCGTAGGAGCGGCAGCTCTAGCGCCATCTTTCGCTGTATGCGGAACCAAAGCCGCGAATGCAACATGGAGATGCGCCGATAACCAATAGCGGGGTCGAATGTCCTAAAATTTTTTCCGAAACCTCTGAAGGTATTGCGTTATCAGGACTAAACATATACATGTTAACTCCTCAACAATTTTTATGATACCCAACAAATAATAGCTTCATTGTAGCTGGATTTCCGAGTTTTCCACAGACAACGTCATTACGAAAAAATGGCTTCACTTTTAGAAGCCAACTCTTATCACCGTAATCCACAATTCCAGCTGGCCAGTCATGAGTCACCATGATATCAATAGGGTTCTAAACGTAAGGCACTCGAATTCTCATAATATGAGTAAGTAGACAAAGAAGTAAATAAGTGAATAAATAAAAAAAGCGGCAGAACTTACACTGGTATAGTCTCCATCGACAGGCCGTAACTGTCTTAGTCGCCAAACATCAATGTTTCTAACGTGATATGAGGATACAACCTCGGATTGATCAGAGTACGGTGGACACTCATAGTGACCTATAGAACAGTAGACAATCAATACCAATGAAAAAGTGGTAGGAAAATAAAAACTGTAAAATTAGCTACCTATGAGATAATTGTATAGTATGGTTTGTTCTAACTTTATTTTAAACTACAAACATCATTTAGCTGTTCTTTGCAAGTTCGAGTAGAGTTCAAAGGGTAAGAAGAATAAACAGAAGAAAAGTAGAAATCATGGAACTATCGGGAAAAGAATAGAGGGTTTCATGAAGAAGGCAAACCATCGTACTCGAAGTTTCATTCACGATATCCCATCGGACCCTATCGTTAGTTGCTCACAGTGTTGTCGTTGAGATGTGATATCGCATGTCCGCTTCACGAGATGTATTCAGATTCCTTCTCTCGTGTGGATGATCCGAAGTGCTTCTAGCTTTACACTCCCATAACATATTTGAAAACGTTGTTCTCACTTTCATCCCGCTTATGGAAGTACCTTTCACAGCCCGAAATATACGCTAATCCAAGAAGAACGATGAAATGGAATAAGCACATGTTGGAATGGACTGTGGTGAATGTTCTTTGACCTCTTTAGCACATCCTTCATCCTCTTCTAAGGGCTTCCATATCCAACTCAATGGATCTTTTCTAGTTCAACTCTGCGTAAATGAGTAATCAGAAACCAATCCACTTGTCATGAATATCGTTTTCTCAAGATCCACCTGGCGATTGGTTTCCAAGCACTAAGCAGGTTTCTAAGCATCTGATATTGGCCACATGTAGGCTTCTGAAATTTCCTCACACGTCACCCTGTTACGGTTTTCACAATTACTTAAAGAAAGAAGCTCTACATAACGTCTCAACCTGGGTTTTAGAAGGTAAGGTGTCCAAAGTCTCGGCTTTCTTAGATATAAGGAATATCTTGTGTGATCTGCTCATATTCCTCGTCGATGTTACTGCTAGCAGTGCCACCTCAACAGGCTAATCTTGAACAAATACCAATCTATGATGGTTTGTTATTCTGCTTCATGAAATTTGAAGCATTCTACCTTTTCCGTGAAAAAAATCTTAAGTGGAAAAATGGCTCGACCTCTTGTGAAACTACCTGACAACAATGGCAATATCGGAAGAGCTCTCAATATACTATGATTTGGTTCATCGTTGAGAATACGGGTTCTAGGATTGTGGGACACCTTGCTCAACTGAATTCCAAAGCACCCCTTACAAGGTTGTTAGCATATATATGAAGTCTTTGTTATCTTCACAAGTATCCTCTTGAAAATTCAAGAGCTTTCTTAAAGTTCTATTTATATAGACAGAAAAATGATATGACATGTGATGAAGCCTTAAAGCCTGGGAAGTATAGCAAATGTCTCTTTATTTTAACAGCTCGCTAAATCTTTCTTCGTCTACAATCATTCCTAATAAAGAATAAAACATAAAATAGTGCCGACTTGGGGGAAAATATGTCCACGACGGTGTCAGTTCATTCAAGGTAATAAATCTTGAAAAAATGAGCAGACCGACCGGTATCAATTAATCTAAATTCAACGCATAGGGCTGGAAATTAGGTATCGTCTCGTGCTCGCCATACAAAATGAGTTATAGTCGTGAACATGTTAACATTATTTTCATACCAAACCTCGATAAAACTCTTTTGCATTGAATATTCCTGATAATCCCGCAATGCGTAGACCAGCGAACCTTGAAGAAAACAAACATGACGTACTCCTACACAAACAGAGTAAGACGAAGTTGACAAAAAAAAACATGATCATGCTCTTCATTCTATCCTACACAAAAGAAACGATTAAAAGAACGTCTTTTTATACCTAACAACATTGGCAAAACCCATATAGTAAATGTTCGGCGCAACCCATCCACCATTCGGAAGTTCAACCAAATAACCTGATGCTTCATGATTGCCACCAACAAATACTGTGAGGATCGGAGCCACCTAAAAAATAGAAATAGAAGATGTATCTTCCGATAAAAACAAAAAAAAACGATAAAAGAGGAGGAGGATAATCACCTTTTCCCCAGAATAGTACCTATAAAATGTTTGTAACGACCGGTACTTCTCGCTAACATGCATATGGTGAAGATCTCCATAGTTTCGCACTGCCTAAAATTATGACTAGAACCTTTGCAGACAGATTTAAATAGAAACGTTTTCACCTGGTAATCTCCGCAGCAGACGAGTAGATCAAACTTACAACCCTTTTCCTTCTCTATCTCAGCTAAAACGGCATAGATCTTGTCCATTTCACCATGGGCACAACCTGCTACGGCTATACGAACTTTCTTTACAGCATCCGCTTGAGTGTCCTCTTCTGAAAAGCTTACAATGAGGCATAGTTCTAAAATTTTCCTACAGTGATAATCATACCAGACAAATTCATTACCAGGAGGAAATTTAAGGTTGTTAGGGTTGGCATTTAATCCCATCTCTTCAATAGCTGCAACTGAGTCAGCTGTTCCGGAAGCTTGAGTTCCAGTAAGGTTATGAGCTGAATCGACTTCTTCGACTCCTAAATGGGAAATAAGTCGGTGTAACAAGTTATGAATGTGATCAATGTGAAGAAGCTGAAAACAGAAGAATTGTGCTTTGTGTACACAAATGTGGACAACTAGAATAAGTTTGGCCGAAAGAATCACTACAGATAAGCAAAAGGTGAGACGATGTGGATAGAAAACTTCTATCTCAAAAATAGCGACTCAAGACTCACCAGTGCTGCATGAATTAATTTCCTGAATATTACGACGCTAAATATCCTGGAAAATGCCAAAGCATGGCTAAACAATGACTCGGAAAGCTGTCGGAAAACCAGTTCGTGGGTTAAAGGGTTAAAATACTTGTATCAAACACCTTGTTCCATTGTTTCACGTGTACATATGCCACGGCTTACCATATGTTACTATGACCCAGCTACACTGCCGTCGAAATCTGGAAGTCTTGCCTTACAAGAAATGGTGAGTTTTTCTCGGCGCTATTCTTATGCTCACAACGTTCACACATTCCATACGTTGGTCCATCACAACAATTGGAGATGAGAAAAAAAAATTAGGAAAAAGGACAAAGAATGCAACGATCAGTGTAGAGGATTCGCCCTACATTCGACTTCCTAAGCATCGTACATTTGAATAAATACATATCTGGCCATTCCAATGGTCCTGGTCTACTGACATACCATATAAGGACCCGCATGGCGCGGTGGTGAACGCCATAGGCCCCGTAAAGAGTAAGAGCGCGTTCGTTCCTCAAATGTACGACCTTGCGTTTTCGATAACAGAGCAGTTTTTTCGATAGCTATAGCACTTGTGGCCCCAACAACCTAAAATGCTCAAGAGATTTGGTCTACTGCTTTAGGTGCATACATTACTGATGTTATTGTTCATTATATGTTCCTACACTATCCACTTCTTTGTTACATATTTGATTTCTTTCCTGTGCGATTTTTACCCTCATTTCATTTTCACTCCGGCGCCTTTTTCTCATCTATCTTTTCTGTCTCGCAACAATTTCGATATTTATGTGAGTGATGCAACACTTTTCACTTTTTCTTTATGTCGCAACGAACCTTCTCTTTTACCACTTCATATGAGTACACTGGTAAACTTTAAAATAATTAGCACAATATCAGTAAATGAGTAACGCAACATCGTCTTCGACAAACTCACCACGAGAGTGATTGTAAAGAAAGTGAACATCAGGCTGATATTCCTGAGCTCGCCGTGAGTAAAGAATATGGTAGCAGAAACAACGAACCTGCTCGTGAGGAGGAAGGTATTGACGGTGATGATGTCTAGCGAGAGTATATACACAGTACTAGTGTGTAGTATATATATATAGAGTTCTACCGAGAAAGAGAACGCCTACCGAATATAATAGTCTCACACGAAAATTAAGCGTGCAATGAATAGCAACGTGTTTTTGAAGATCTACTGCTTGGTTATGGAAGCCCAGTAGATAAATATTAATTACTTCTCTCTCGGATAGGGATTGCTTGTGAAGGACATTAAGATGTACGAACTATAGAAGCATCAAGCTTGGGAGTCAATAAATATTGGTGGGATGAGGAGATTCACGGTGTCTAGATGGGAATAGAGGCGAATGAGCTTAACTCACGCCCATGGAGGTATTCTTCTCGCATGTGTTCTTTTTTATGGTTTATAAGCACCATAGTTTACCCACACTTTAGCTACATACGGCATCCTTTTCACCTAATAACACAATCGTGTTTGGTACATGGATGGAAGATCTGTTTCGATAACGTGTACACAAGAAGTTGGCAACTCATTACAGTTCCAGATGTGCTGCAACGTGTTCTAGCCAGTTTTAACTAAAAGTACACGATATGAGAAAAACTTCAATTTAATAATGAACATAAAAAGTCTAAACCACTTGTGAGGAATACACTTTCTATGTAGAGACTGCTGCTTATATAAGGAAGCTCTATATAAAACCTAAGATCGTATATGAGAAGCTATCTTTCCATGTAAAAATAGTCCCTTCTGAATGGGAGGTGGGTAATGCACCTACCAAATATGTTGGTTCGATCCTACGCTATTAGCTACCGAAGCACCTCATTTTTCACAAGTCTGCAAATTGGAACTATGTCTGCGAGTATAGAAAGCACAGAACTGATACATGGATAAGGCTCGGCAAGCCATTTTACAGGCTAAATCTGTGTTCAACTACGATGCTTGATGAAGATGAGTGCACAGTGCACCCCTCAGGAATTGATTGCTACCGGACGTTTTATCACTTATGTCAGAAGCGTAAGTTCGACATAGGAACAGTTACTTACAAATAAGAAGTGTAATCTTGACGATTGCAGTTTGCACGCGTAGGAGATTAAAATGGCAGTTTACAAACATTGTAAGCAAGCAATGTAATAAATGTTTCTGAAGACGGTAATTTAAATTTCAATGGAACCCCAAGTGAACGAAAACTCAGATAGAAGATGCACTGCATGAGACCACATTGAACACCTAATTTGTTGAAGTTCAACCCTCTATGGACGCAACCAATAAGTTTGGTGAAGTCGCGTATACATCTCATAAACCTCTTTAATGGTTTTCCATTTTGTAGGTAAAGTGTACACATTCTCAATGTGAAGCACAATAGGCTCGGCAAACCATTACCAAATACAGCGCTCCGTAGATTATTAAATGTGGCGAGAAGTTCTTTCTTTCTTGAGCGACCAGAGGAGCATCAATGCGCACCCTGCGGGCCACTGAATGAGCGTAGGTGTAGCGAAAATCTCCCCGTGATAAGACAGTTCTCCAAAAAATTGCATCGCATCCAATAAACTGGTTCAATACAAGCACCAATTTGGGTTTGTACTACATAATGCCTATCGTCCTTCATCAGTTAATGTCCTCTTAGTTAATTTGAAAATCATCCCCTTTTTCGTGGAAGTGCGTTTGAATTCGTTGTCCATTTCGTATCTGCTTAATTGGTCATTGTGGATACCATTTATACAGTTCACCAAATATGGCAAGCCAATGAAAAATTGCGGAATTAAACACATGAGTAACTCAAAACAAACAGGGTCCGATCTGCGTGATCGAGTTCCATGCCACTACACTGCGCTATATTGCCTCAAATGGGTGCATGAGACGCTGTGGTCTGACGCATCCTGCGACACACATGGGATCGACTCCAGCCCCTAGCCCACCAAGTCCTCTATCTTTCCGGAGTAAACAAATTGTTACCAGACTTGTCTGAGAAGATAGCAGCACTGGCTCGATACATCGGTAGGTTACCGCAAGTCATTGTAAAGGCCAGATATGCATTCAGTCACCTCCAACGATACTTGATGAAGTCGAATGCATGGCGCTTCCCTCAGGGATCGATCAACGTCGAACGCGTTATCCTAGCACTTCATACTTCCTCAATCCGTGATAATAATTTGCAATAACCACCTAATATCCATCGTCATGGAGTGGTTAACTAACTACTAGAAACTGCTTCACATATATATGTGTATATATATATATATATGTATATATATATACATATATATATATATATATATATATATATATATATAGCCCGTAATCTACTAAGGTTAGTGGATAAAACACACAAAATTGTGCCGAAGTCAGCCATTCTAGGCTGCTCAGATATAAAGACTGAATTTTCAATTTCATTCATCCTCCATGTGGTTTACCAATAACTTTTTTATAAAATGCTGCAGTTATATACCAATGTAAAGCTTGTCTAACCACTTGCTAGCAGTTTTCCAAGTATCTTTACACCTTCTAATGCCAAAAATGCTTCGAAAATGAGGTCGAGGCCGAAACTGCCTTCGGTTACCTCATCGCTTCCAGATCTCCAAAGTTTTTAACAAGCCGAATAAACACAATTTTGTTCCTCGTTGATAGTGTTTAGATTCTGAAGGTTTTTATTCCCATTAGTAAGGTTTGTTACGAGCTGAGACGTCCCAGTTCAAACGTACAAGTTGAAAATCCTGCACTTATTCCAAACATTAAATCCTAACCTAACATATATAGCCTAAAAACAAGCGATTACCCTCGCTAACATCAGCACTTCTGTCGAATTCTATACTTTCACTGTCGTGCCGAACACCTTCTGTCTGAACAACGACATCTGTCATACTAAACACTAAAAAGAGGTAGAAGAATGGGAATCCCTAGCAGATAGGAAGAAACATGGATGGAACGGAAACAAAGCCGAAAAGAACGCAACGCAAAGAAGTGACTTCAATTTATGATTAAGAACAGAGACACACAGAGTTCAATACGTAGGGAAAAAAAACTATTTCCTCCAATAATCGACTTTCTCCATTTCGACGAGAGGGAGCAGCTGGTCGGCAAAATCCCGTAGTTGCTTAGCGGTCTGAACAAAAAGTGATTTCAAATGGACTTGAGGTTGCCAAGAATGTTCTCTGTAAAACTTACAGCACTGTATTCAGCAGAATCAGGCAGACAAGCACTAATTTCCACCAAATAGGAGTCGGCGAACCTCTTTAAATTGCTCTGATCATAATGTCCAGCCTAAGGAATGGATTTCACAGTGTGCCCATAATTTCCCGTAGCACTCTGCGATAAGAATGCACTTTCCTTACTTTCTCCGTCCGTTGTATCTGACTTATCACCACCTTCATTCTTCCATTTGTCCAAACTGTCCCTTTCGCTATATATTCATAATCCATGCGTAACCCTAAACACTTATTCGACTCATACTCTATAAATGTCAATGGGGAAAACCCGAAATACCTAGCGTTTTCACAAAATCCATCATCAAGTGGGAATAAGCAATAGAATCTATCACTTTGCGAACAATTACCGGACATTTCTGATCCGGTTCTGGACCTAAAATTGCGAATGTATGGAACAATGGCAAAAAGGGAAAAGAAGACGCCGAAACCACTTCAATCAGATTTTCAGTATGGTACTATATAGACAAATAACTTATCCCACCTCCAATATACCGAAACTGCCACTGGTGGCTAGTGAATGAGTCAACGTTGAAACGGCGACGCAGCCTACGAAACTGCGATCAAGAAAAAACCACAATCGAAAAAGAACCAGAGAGATTAAATGCCTGATGGTAACGTCAGGATCAGTTCCTGTTCGAAGACTGAACGAGAGATCGTGTTCGTGAAACTCCGTGGAACCAGGGTCGCAAAGTCCAGTTAGGCGCCGTTCCAAGTCCTGTCAACACGTGAGTGATGTCAAAATAACTACCACAGTCCACACATCAAACAGTATTTACGGCTGCCACTCACCTAAACAGAGGTGTTATTAAAAGGCTTACTATCTAAAGCGGAAGCTGTTGAACATACCTGCAAATTATCTGCGAAGACGCTCCCATAAAGGATGAGCTCCTGACACTGATAAGGCATAGAAGTGAGGGCTGCTTTTGATGTCTAAAGATAGACCTCACAATAGAACAATTGATTAAAAATATACGATATAAGGACCTCAAAAAACAGAGTAAGCAGGTAAGTGTGAACCCGCCTGTCCTGCCTCCGCATCCTCGTCACATTTATCCATGTTTGACGAAAATCGCTTTAAAGATGCACAGGGAATTTGGTGGCAAGCAGAACGTGAAACCCAACTTTCCAGGCACTAGGTTGTCCAGAAAGGAAGTAACTGCAATGGCCTACGAAAACCCGCGGGTATTCAATTCTCACTGGCGCAGATTTTTCTATAGAGCATCTCTGCATTCTGTCTTTCCGCGATCATCACGAAATCATGCATTTGGCTGACTGTTGGATCGTTTGTGTCATCTCTTCCAAATATTGTTGGTTGTTTTTATTTTAAATGTTTACTTTCGTTTTTAAGTGATGAAAAGACCAAGACGGTGTCGCTACGAGTCCGAGCTCGACTACACAAGAGATGCTGAAGAAAACTCAAAAATACTGTTGAAGGAGAAGTACGAAATGCTTAGATGGACGGACACGGTCGAGATCAACACGCCCAATCTTCTGATTCCGGCTCAGATTGCCAACTATGTGGAGTCGCTTCCATTTTGCAAACTCGCAGTCTCCCCGTGAGTTTCATGGCTATACGTTAATGTCCTAGTCTCGATCTTTGCAGATATTATCTTGAACTCCCTCACATAATTGTATACATGTTCAATCCCATATTTACTTGCTCAAAAAACCTTGCCTACCACTATTTTTTCTTATTTTTCTTTTCTTTTATTCTGCTCGACCTGATGAGGCGTGTTGCGCGGATACGGGCACTCCTTGTATCCACTTCATTTCCTTTCAGGAATCATCCACGTGAGCCTTTTGACTTTCGCGTGTCTGTTCAGCTTCTGCTTGAGATTTTTTGTTCTTCTTGAATGTCGTTACTGGGATAACCGTGCCCATGCGTTCCCAGATCTTCGTCCTTCCATGTCATGATAGACGCCATCATTTTTGGATTGGAGAGAGATAGCTGGTCCATATGGGTTTGGTACTTGCCACTTCTCCTCCTAAGGATATCGAAGTGAGATCTGCATGGATGGGCATGAACGTTTCCTACTAAATCATCACTCTGTACGCTCGATGTCACCAAATCAGCTAGTTTTTTAGCGGTATTATTTATTATTCCGATCTGCGATTACCGTTTCCGGTGCCTCATATGTTATCCACTGCTTCACCAGAGTCCTTGCTTTGCATTTCTCTAGGCTTTTTTTTCATTTTATTGGTACTATCAGCAATCACATGGCAACGTGAATGGTATGGGAAGCACATCGTTGTGATTGTATTTCACATAGTACCCTGCCATGAAAAGAGCAGGAACTAAAGACGCACTAATACTTTGTAATTCGGACTGGAGGAGCTTCGGCTATATTAGGTTCAACGCTGATTTGTGCTCCCCAGGTCATTCCCGTTGGCGGGTGACTGCTGATAGCACCGGTGAAAACATGGCCGAGAGAAAGACAATGCAAGGGCCTCGGTTGGTATGGTGGATATCGCGTGAGGCCTCAAAACCCGAGAAGGTTAATCTCGGGCTCCAAGCCCAAACGAAGTTCCAAGCATATCTCAGCATACTTCTAGTTATATCTCGCATAGTTTTAGGTCAGTTAATCGTTTCGCGCTAATGCATCACAGTCGTATTATGGATGTGTATGCTATCGATGGTCAGAACATCATACAGGAATGCAGTGTACAAGGTTTATTTGGAATTGTTTTTGGCCTTAAAAGCTAGCGCAGTGGGAAAGGGCGATAATCCGCTTGCAGTTATGTGAGTCAGTTCTGCCAGAGAACATGACATTGCTGAGAAGAGAAAGTTTCAAATTCATTTATTGCATTTTAAGCGAACGTTAATTTTATTGCTCAGAAGTTTTGGAACTATATTAAGTCAAGAAAGTAGTAAGTGAAGTCTCGCATGAGTGAGACATATCGGAAATTTGGGAATTTTTAACCTTTTTTCCCCAGCGGTTTCATGGAACGTTTTTCGTTTTATGGCATGAAGATGTCAGCATCGTTTTCAATAGAAAACTGCACAAAGCGCTAAAATTACTTCATCTAGGGATTGGTCTTATCATGATTCTTAACGACTCTTCTGGATGTGACTGGCATCAGACAACAGTTATGTACTGCCTGACATATTCTTCAGTTTAGTACTAGAAGATGAGTTCGCGCAGTACTGTTTACTGGAATTCACGGCATCCGGTTCGTTGCTTCTGTCCACTCGGAGCACTGCTCAGATTGATGTGTTCGATCACCAAGGTGGATACTGCTATGATATTTCACTGGTTAGTGGTCCACCCATTTCTTTAAAACTGTAAATGCTCTTTGGTTTCAAATTTCCTTGCAGGAATATCCAGAAAATAATCTCGATCTAGTATGTGCTATTTCTTCGATCCGAACAGTTGCGAACAATTCCACTGACGACAAGTATTTAGACATCTTATATGTGCTTCAGTACAACGGTACACTCTCGGTTTATAAAATCGGGTGCGTGCCTCAGCGTAAACCTTTTATGTCCAATTTTCACGCACCGTTGCATTTGATCCCACTGATTCTAGTTTAGGCGTCTGAGTAGGTTTCAAAGGATGTGGTCCGTGTCGCTTGATATAGGATTAGCGGGTACATTTTGTGTTTTGCCACGTTACAATCTCCTGCTAGTATCGTCTCATTATCGCGTATCAAACGATGAGGGTATGCCGGGCGGGCTGTGCTCTTTCCGATTAATGAACTACGAGCCTTTCGTTGAACCCATACGTTTAACTATCGATCAAGGTGAGTATGTTAATTTTATGCCGTTTATCTATGGATTTATTCACTTGTTTAGGTGGATGGCTTTCTCGACTTCCATTCAGTTCTGCTAATTATGCTTACCTGGTTTCGATGACATTGAACGAGTCGTTGTCAAAATTGGCAGCAGTTTCTGGCAACGGCGATTTTTTCCTCTTTGATGTTAGTGTCACTGTTGGTATAGTGTTGAAAACGAATTCGATTCTTTCTCTATGTTTAGTATTTTGTTGTATCAGAAATAGGGACTGTTGACTGTGATAGTTCTCGATTTAATTGATGAATTCCAGATACCGTCAACGCGAATTCTATTCTCCATCAAGTACATTTCTGGACCTCGACCTATTCAAGTCGTTTTCACTGAAGACGAGGTACTAATATTTTCTCTTTCACAACTCTTCTTTCCATATTCTTCTCCCATCCAATTGTCAATGTCCTTTAGCCCAATTTCCTTCTCTTGCTGTAAGTGGTATTTCGAGTCGTTTAGGAAGTTGCTGTGCTATTTCATTCGGGAGAGCTTGTGAGGAGTTCACTTGATCAACTTAGGGATTCTATTCATTCGCTCCGTAACTGTGAGAAGTTCACATCACGCACTACTCTGGTTGCTCCTTGTCCTAGAGAGCTGTTTGTATTGGCTACAGGTGTAAGTTTTGAGAAAACGATAGTATATTACAAGCACATATTTATTTTGCTTTCGACCGTTGCTTAAGGATTTTTGGTTTTATTTACGAATGTTGATATAGTTGAATCGATTCTCCCTGAAGTCCCTTGGTAGCCGTACTAAAACGCCCTTAAGCTTTATGGACCAGAAAAAAGTGTTTTTGACAAGTTTGCTACATATTCACCGACTCAAAGGGATGTGGTGACGTGCTGTTGATCCGAACCAGGGCGCTGTACATTGTGCTAACCGCGCCTTACGGCCGTATATAAGAACAATGAAAATTTGCAGAAAAATAAACAGTTGAGCAAGCTAATGGCAAAGTAACCTTGATCAAATCTTTTTGCAGTGCGTTGAATCGTTTTTGGACTCAACAAGGAGTATTTTTTGCCCGAAATTATTCGTGGAGGAGACCACATTTTTTCTTATCCCTTTACAATGGAAAAATATGGTGTTAATGAAAAATAGAGGAAAAAAGAATTTTGTAACAAAATAGTTTTTAAAGGAAGGCACGAATGCATTGCGGGAGGCTGCTTTGCAAAGGACATCCTTGGCGTGTCGACTATGGCTGTACACTCTTTGGCGATCCTTGAAAAAAGTAACTTTTTCAGTATTTAACTTGATTTAAAGTTTGTTTTAGAACACGTTTTTTAGGTTATCGAAATAGCCATCGGAGACAGCACAGTTCCATTAGAAAAAGCAACCTATTCTGAATCTTTAGACTTCGTGTTGTTACATTCGCCCACACGAACTCTTCAGGAGTTATTCGAGAGAACAGTTGGTGTATCTTCCCCGTTTACTTGATCAGCTTGTTTTCCATTGAACTCAGATTTAGTTAAACGAAGGAGATTACTCTCGCGCAAAGAGTCTCGCTGAAAGTTACGATACGATTGACATAGACATTGTACTGAAGAGAGAATGGAGGGACATTTGTCATAGTCAAGCGATAACCGTCGAGAGTGTGGATAGCATCCTAGTTAGTCTTCTTCGCTCTTTTCTGTAGGCTCTTTGTTCTCTAATTTCCACAGTTTTAGAGATGTAGTACTAGTAACCACGTAGGTGTTCACATCGTAAGTAGCGCAAGCAGTCTGGCTTGATCATGTTTGTCTTCATTATTGTCTGTTGTCTTAATATTACTACCGCTTTATAGCGTCAAATCAATGACAAAGATTGGATCGTTGAAGCATGCATATCTAGCGATGCACCAAATCTTCCTGTACAAAAAGCACTCGTTGATCTAGGTTTGTTTTGTTAATTACCAGTTTCGAGTTGACCAGTTTCCAATGGATTTAACAGATAATCAGATTTTTCGGTACTCTTCAGGTACTTCATTCCCAAATGCTGCTCTGGCGTCACAAGTTCGGCTCCATCACAATGCACGTATATTGGCGGTGTGTGAATGCGTGAACGAATACATCGAAGTTCGCAACCTCTCGTGCCTCAGTGCAGCCTATCGTTTTGCTGAAGTACATTTTCTTTTAGCTTTAGGTTTTTATGCGTTGTACAAATGAGTGTTGGTGTCAACATAGGCTTTAAGTGGTCACCAAATCTGCTTCAATATTTTTTAGAGGCTGGACCTCGTACTATTAGATCGTTTAATCGAACGGAACTATTCCATTCTTGTCCCCTGCATACTTGATATTATCTCACATATTCCAACAAGTGTCCCCTCCAACCGATTTGAACATCTTTTGCCTACTAAAAATGGAAGAGTGATCCAGCTGGATAAGGTTGGTTTTCTTTGGTTTTCATATCTTTCCAAAGTGCGCTGTAGTTTTAATTGGGTGGCTTCCTATTAAGTCACTTACTAATCACGTCCTTTTTCGTTTTTATTTTATTTTATTCTGATCGATTTTAGATCCTCAATTCTCATTTGGAAACGATGTTTTTACTTGGTGCAGAAGGTGGTGAGGATATCATGGACTTGGTTAAAACCTACAATACTGGTAGTAACAAAACGTACGGATTAGTTTCAAGTTCCTATAATGATTGTTTTGCATTTGTGGTAACAGAGTTGTGGCTACGGGTTATTTCTGTACTAATAGATACGAATCTTTTGGTGCACTCTAATGGGATTTAGACAGTACTTTGTTTTAAATTTCAACTAAAAATCCGATTCTGAAGGACTGTCGACGCAGAGGATTTTGTGACATGGGTACGGGAGCGAGTGCGTCTAATTGATTCTGAAGCCGGTCTAGCGGAGCACTGTATTAGCTTGCTGAATACTTCTATTCAACGTGGATATGAGGTATGTATTTCTTTCCAGTTAATAATTAACATAAAGTAGAAGGACAAAGCCCTCGGCGTTGATCAATCCCTGAGGGATGTGCCATGCATTTGGCTTCATTAAGTATTGTTCGAAGTGATTGAATGCACATCTGGCCTTCACAATGACTTGCGGTGGCCTAGTGATGTATCCGCCCGGTGCTGCTGTCCTGCCAGACAAGTCTGGTACCAGTTTGCCTGCCCCGGAGGGATGGAAGGCTTGGTGACCCAGGAGTGCGTGGATGGATCCAATGTGTTGCAGGGCGTCTCCAACCACTGCGCCACACGCGCTCCATAATTAACAATTAGGTTGTAGAAAAATTATTGTTAATTTTATCGCAGCCTCTTATTCGGCTAATTTCTCATGCCTTCATGTTTGGTAGACTAGTGCGAAACTAGTCAGTAAAAATAGAACTACACTGTACATTAAGTATAACATACCGTACGCTCCTACTGCTGATATCGGAATCATCTGTAACGAACTTATAAATGAAACATGATGGCGCAGTCACCTTACATACTATGATCATCATCAAGGCGCTTTTCTGCAGGCTTTTAAACCGTCGGATGGAATTTTTGCAGGAATTGAAGTCCGACTTGGAGTCCTTCGTCCACTACAATTTTTTCTTAACGACGTGCTATCTTGTAGGAGAGACGTTCAACAGGTTTTGCGAAACATCACCAGACTACTACGTATCGTTGTTGCATAATGTATGGGTGGTATCTGGACATTTCTTTTTCTTTTCTTGTTACAATTTAGCTTTAGACAGTTCTGCCGGGGTTATTGTTCTTGCGTTTACAAGTCCATATGAAAAGTAAGGATTTTCAGCTTCCTGAGGAAGATATAGTGCGGAAGTTGCCTGAGATTCTATCACTACTGAAATGGAAGACTCGAGATTCTTCTACGTCTGCTGACGATCTGAGGAAAACTGTGCTGTCGTTCCTTTTGGCCACGAGTCAGCATAATGTCGAAGTTTTGCAAGCAATGCAGAACCAAACAAGTTTCGTTCTGGACAGAGACATAGTACATTAACCGTTTTAAAGTCGAAACCATGTTTTCTTGCTGGCAACAGTGTTCGTTTTCTAGGTGATTCAATGCCTCTGTTGTTTGGAACTGACTGGTGACGCCCTCATGCGCGCAGTTGTTTCTGTTGGAGCTTGTCCGGATTTGGCATGTTCATTGAGCACTCTTCACTCACGAGGAGTGAAGCCGACATTCAAACAACTATGGGAGAGCACAAGTGATGCGTACGTACCAAATGTTCTTCCTATGTTGCAGTTTTAATTCTCCAGATGATTTAGTGATGGTGCACGGCGACTCCTAATTCGGATGGCGCGATGTGGTCAAGCTGCATCTGTTGCCGAGTGGGAGGCGCTCCGGGATGAGGTTCTTGATCTTACTTTGAGGTATTTAGGGATGTTTACTAGTCGTCTGATAGGTCTTCTCAGTACCAAACATGAATTCGTATTTAAGGCTTAATATGTAGCACACGCTGATATTTAACAACTGAAATTATTTGCTCACCCTGAGGAGCACATGGTATAACATGTACTAGTGGTTCTGAGGGTAATTTCAGTATTGTTGGTAATAACAAGAATCAATGAAAACAGAACAGTGATAACTGTTCCTGTGTTTACTCTCTGTCATTCTCATAGCCTTTATTTATTGCCTACAGCCTTACTGCTTACTCTTTATTTTCTTCGTGACAGGATAAAGGATAAAAAAAAGAATAAAGCTCTCGGCGTTGACCAAACCTTAGAGATGCACCATGTATCTGACTTCGTTAATCTAGGAGTACGTGCAGCGTGTAGCACAGTGGTCAGAGGCGCTTTCAAATTCACTTAACTTCGACCTCGCACTCCAGGCTCACCAAGCTCTCCATCTCTCCGGATACATTTCGATCTTGTAATCTTTGTGAAGAAATGTATCCGTTGTTTGGTCGTAATTTGTACTTAACGTCAGAGAGAATACTGTTCATTGAAATTGTTAATCAGCATAAATCCTTGGTTCCTCCATTCGCATTTGACCCACCCATTGCTCGTGATTTTGCGTTATGCAGCAGCATTCTTTTCTCCTAATAGTATCGGCAATCTTCTGTGGCAATCTATCACTTACCTCCCACTTTTTTTTACCATATTCAAAATCTTAGTATAGAAATTCTTATAATTTTTAGAGGTTGCAGTTACGCTACACAAATAATTGCTTCTCGAAACAACTCAGTCATATTTAGTACTTATGGCGGGCTTATCAGTCCGGACGAAGCCCTCAGCATCGTCACTCGTGAAGTGCTGTCAGACACTCGAATTTCTCACGATAGGAACGTTCTTAAGCTGTTCCTAACTCTTGACGAGAACGAAAATAGCGGGGACGTAAACAGAAGGCTAAACATCGAGAGGAGTGCGGAGGTGTTGCTTTTAAGGCCATTTTTTTTACAAATTCGATGTCCTCATTGGTTCACTTCGATCTGTTTTTCTTGTTACGAACAGTTTTTCACCATTTCTCACAATCGACGCAATATTACTTTTTTCAACATGTTAATATTTGAGGTTCTTATTGCAAAGAGTGAAGAGTTGTTACAAGAAGCCCAATCTCCCAGTGATACTGTTCTGAGACAGTCGCGAAGTATGGCAGAGGCTGCTAAGACTATCGCACCGATCAGAGCGAAAAAGCAACTGAAATTTCTCGACGCTGTCAATCTTGCTCACGAACTCGGCTCTACCGCCTTACCAGTTGCTATCAAGTATGTTTTCTTTTTACTTCACTTGACACTGTGATAAGCCCTAATAAATATTCTTGTAGTATCAACGTTAATAATTCGATGCTTGGTAACTTCACTCTCTTAAAAGCAGACATTTTTATCCATCTGTTTTTCAAAAGCGGGAACTAGGTCCATTCGATTGCGCAAAACCTGTGATTGAATTAAATGTCGTTGAAATTTATTCATGGAGAAATGTAGAGAACTAAAACTAGAATTATCCAAAAGCATATTGATAAGCTTTTGCACACTCTAAGGTGTTTTGATAACCAGATAAATATTATAACCTGGAAATTTCCAAGCGTATAGGTGGTGCTCAACAGTTATAAATCCTCGGTTTGCAATTTTATGGAATCCTATAGTGTATTATGCTATGCGGAAGTGTTTATCTTAGATTTGCGGAACCACATGTTTTCCTGGAGGAGGTTGTTAAGCTAGACGGGAATTATAAGCAAGTAAGTTATTTGTGTTCAATCTTTGTTGCTTTTTTCACTTCTTGAGATTTAATTTTTTTTGCTCCTTTGCAATACAGGGTAGAAAATGTGCAGAACTGGCTCTTCTTCTTGGTGTGGAAACTCCGGTAGCAACAGCTCTGTCATTATGCGCACTGTCGGCGCTCGTCGCAAATGATGAGCGATATCTAGGCAAATATATCCATGAAGTCATGACGAAGGTATTTTTTTATGGTTCCTTTTTGTTATTTTGCAAACTGCTTTTTAAATTCGTGGAACATTTTATAGGGGCATGATTTGCCAGTGGTTCATGAGCTGTGTATTCGTATCATGGAATCACCATTCGTACCTGCGGTATGTTCCAGTGGAGATGCAGCTATATCTTTAAGTTATCGTGTTACCGTGCTTTAATATCTATACGTAATACCCGAAGCTGCCTTTTCGGTGATTGATTTTTTTGATAAATAGAATACGTGCTGTGTGTGTGTGTTCTATTTATTAAAAACACTCCTATTCCTGACGGTTTATCGCCTCATCGTGGCTAGGAGGTATTGCTGGGTGTCGGACTACGATGTACAACGGGATATTCATCTCCCTGGCAGAATCTCCCAAGCTGAGGAGTCCGACGTTTCGGTCAGTAAGCCCCAGCTAAGTGTAAACCAATACCAGGATCCACCACCGTTCTGGTACCAAACTAGTCACATGGTAGCAAATGTTCTGATCCACAACAACGGCGACTGCCAGTGTTAGTGGCGAGCTGGGGCAGACTTTGGCCACGATGACCTCGGGATTCGAGAGAAATACGATGGCGTCTAAACCAACAAAACTCCGAAAAATGGAGAAGGTTCTGGCGCCCGCACAACCGGAAAGGACGGGCCATCCAAGTATCCAAGTAAGAACACTTTCTTGTTGTACAGTACGGCAATCTCCTATTCCACTATATTCGAACTATTCATTGCTTCGAAGTTCGAAATACGAGAGGAGAAAGAAGACGAAAGGGATAATTTTCATGGGTACCAAAAATCAGTATCTTACCATTAGGAAATTTCTAAAAGTATGAAAATGATAGAATATAAGTAAATTCTTTGCTGTATCTGGGGATGGTCTATGGAGCCAATCAATTTTTATACGTGTACATTGAGATCAATGCCTGATAAACATGTTAACACAGGTGATGGAGGAAATATATGCGTGTGCACTGCTAAACTGTCCAGCTGACAAGCTAATGGAGACCCTGGATCTTATCGAACATCACAGTTCTGCTAGAAAGCAACGTTTTTGTCAAGAACTAGCGATTAATGACAAACTGGTGATTGACCCAATGTATACTCGAGTAAGTAATCCGTTTTATATTATGCTCATACTTTTGTTATAGATCATTTATGTGCTAAGGTTAAATTCGAAAGGAAGTTTTGCGCTTTTTATGTTGTATTTACGAAATGAGATGTGCCACTTAGCAACAACTCAGTAGTTACTGGAGCTGGAGTGTTTATTATGAACAGTAACGGTTATGACTTGAACGGTAATCTTGTTAAGGGGTCTTTCACACTGATTACCGTCCGCTATGCTTCCCTCTCAGTTGTTATCCAAGTTCATTGAGCCTACAAAATACGACGAGATAAAGGGTACAAGAGGAATCAACGAACTTCCGTCTACATTATTCATACCATATCCGTTTAGTGATTCCATTAGCTTTTTGTCTTCGCTTATCTTCGCAAACATCATTCTGTAGTGCACAAATCGAGCTGTGTTTTTATGATTCGTATCTACCGTTTATCTGCGAATGGAAATCCTGTTTTTTTTTTCGACCTGGGAGTTTCGTTACTGCTAAAAAATCTACGAATGTTGTTATAAGAACGTAGAAATTTCGTACACCGCCATGAGTAAGGTTAGCGTGAGATGTTAGAGACCTTAGTATGTTATTTATTATACTCGAGGTGGTCTATCTTTCATAATTTCGTTCTGCATTTTTTACCATTCATATGGGGATTTTGTATTAAGTCATCATGCTACAACCTTCCGAAGACTTCATCATGGCTTTCTGCGGATATTCAGAGTACACTGCACAATCCGTGTCTGTACGCATTCCATTAGTTGTCATGCGAGTCATTCTCAAGGTAACAGTTTCCAGCGTTTAAGATAACAAAGGTAAAGGACAAAGTTCCCGGCGTTGATAAATCTATAAGGGAGAGTCCATGGATTCGACTTCATCAAGCATAGTTAGGAATGGTTGAATATCGGTCTATACAATAACTTGCAGTGGCATACCGATGTATCAAGTTAGCGTTGATAAGGTTTGCTTTCCTGAAGTAGAACCATGCTTCTTTTGGAATTTTGGAATGGAATCTTGCAGCGGTCTATCTTAACACTGCACCAACATGGAGTTCGTACTGAAATAACATTTCGTTGCACATCTGTAATAGTAACAGGTTCTTTTACACGACCGTACATCATAAATTGCGCCGATGCTAACATATCTTCCATTCGAGTGCTTCCGTTGTACCTGTCATCCGCGAAGGTCTGTGTGCTTGTGTATGGGTTCAGCTGCTGTTTGAATACTTCGCTGTTCTCTATGAATGTCGCTGAATGCTAGTCGAGTCGACTGTCTGTAGAATCCTGGGGTAATCGCATTATGGCACTTTTAGATTTTTATGACAGGTAGTCGCCATCGTCTATGAATTCGAGGGAACAAGCTGGTCCCGGAAAAAGTCCACCAGTTTTCCGAAGCCAAAGTAGCAGGGTGCTATCATGGCTTCGGTGTGGGGTGACACCACGGCCCTTCGCTTAATCAACGGAATCACAGCCACTTCTTTACCAATCACTTAAATAAAGCCTTTAAACAGTTTGTATAGTAAGGTTTTATCGATGTTGAAGGGTATTGAACGTTATCGGAGCTAAGTCATGAATGTAGCCCATAAAGAGACCTTATCATTATTGGTATTATTATTTCCGCTTTCTGTAATGTGGATTTTTAGCCAGTAATTGACCTATTTTCAATTTCAAGTCGCATACATGGCCAAACAAAGCTGAAGTCGATGAGACGTCCTTCCAGATTTTGCGCGAATGCTCTGACTTTTCTACCATGGCGGTTTGTTTGCGCGTTTGCTTTTCTTAATGTCCTTGTTTTTCCTCGAGTTGTTCCGACTTCGATTTTTCTTTTTTCTTCTTTGCAGGTGGCAACACTATTAACAAACATTAGTGCTCCATTGGCGTTATGTGTAGCGATGTCTGAGGCGGAGTGTAGGATGTGGACAAAGAATGACTTTCTCTTGAAGTACGAGCAGGTGCTCAACCACCCTGCCCGTGTCCACAACTCTTTCTATCATCTTTAATGCTATGGCATTTTATAGGCACTACGTTTTTTTGAACCACAACTTACGGAACGTCTCGTTGAATCTGTTTCTCCATCTGTTCTAATTTCTCAAGCGACTATGTCAGATGAAAACATTACGATTCTTGATAGGCTATCTCACTATGGTATGATTGTCCAAGAAGCTTTGCATATTTTCACGTCACATCTTCATGTTTTTCTTTATCGATTGTCCTTATTTATTCTTTGAAACATCAAAAAAAATCCCGAATAATTTTCGCTTTAAATAGAATTTCATTCTCTACTTAATCCACAGTATTCATCTCCCTATTATACAGGTTGCGATCGCGAGCGATTTGTTGAGGATGTTGATTACCGAAGAGAGACGATAATGGGATTGGCGATGTAAGACGACATTCTTTTCTTTAACACTCACCACAATTCTGGTTTTTCGACACTTAGAAAAATGGGATAAATGATTCCTTGACTACAAAAACCTTGAGTTTAATTGTGGTAGAGTAAGTTAACATATATGTTATGGACAAGTGTTTTGAGACCTGACAGTTTTTACTTCAATTAGGAATAACCCTTCTGAGATGGGGTTTATATGCTTGAAGGTGGAAAAGTAAATTATTTTCAGCCAAGAATGCATTGAATTCGATGCACGATGTATTGAATGTGTTAAGAACTGACTCTTTGCAGATATTTATTAATTAGTAGTTTCAAATGAATCCAATGCTTCTTGATTAATACGTTTGAATGGATGCTTTTGTAGGACTGATGACGATGCCGTGTACGCAGATGCGATTCGCTTGGCTGCAGATTTCAAGCTGGATGATTGGTCAATTCACTTTGCTTCGCTTGAAAATGCCTTAACATCGTAAGATGTTTATTGTTGTCATATCGATAGAGTTTGTCTGCTACACAACCATTTTTTAAGACCGGCTTTTAGACTATCCATTCCCGAGGCAAAGGCTTTGCTGAAGTCTCGTCGACATTTGGCTCGATTGCGTTCTGATCCAGAAAGATTGTACCTCCAACTGCGATCATCGGTAGCACCTCTGATGACTACTAACGAACAATTTATCGCATACTTGACGTTGTTTGCTGATGGAGAGCCCGAGCGAGCCTCGCTTCCAGCAATAAAACGAATTCTAGAGAAGAAACGGGGCACGTTTTTCTTAAATCTTCTTTTTTCTCGTGTGCCTAGCTGTCGATTCTCAGATTTATTTAATTTGAAGATGTGAAAGCTTTCCGGTTATTTACGGATGCAGACTATTTATGCAACGTTATCATTTCTATGCCAGACCGAGCGATCCTTTCTTTAGAAAAGGAATTGCGTTATATCCCGGTGGGTTATTTACTCGGTAGCTACAATTTTATTCAACTTTTTTCTTAACTTCTATTCAGGTAGGAACAGAAGCTTGTGAAGCAGCTGCACGAATTCTTTTCGATGGAAATGATTTGCGACCGGCTGCGAATCCTGCAGTTATTTTTGCTTTGCTTAGCAAGGACGAGACTAATTTTATTGACCTTGTTGCCACTAAAGACGTATATTTATCATAGTTGTGTTTTTTTATAGGAAAGTATTTATGTGTTACTTTTGTTTCAGTTGTCCGAGGAACTGATCTATCTCGAGAAAGCGGTTTTGATGCTAGAGGCCACGCCAAATGTTGACAACAAGCTTGTTAGTATTGTGAGGTTGGTGAGAATGGGATAACAACGCATTAGGGGTTAAACTACTTGCATGTGATTTCGGTTGAGAGATATTTTATAGAACAGATTGCACTTCTTGTTTGTCCTCCCTTCAAGAAAAAGTCTTAGGTCTTTTTCCGTTCTTTTTTATGCTTAACACTAGCTCATGGGGGTCTGCTTGATGCGCATATACCGCTTGGAACGTCAGCTGAGATGTTGGGAGTATTATATGTTGCTAAACGTTTGCTACAGTTATTTGTTAGAAGATTAATTTTTTATTCATAGGCAGCTGTAGTTATTTAACACGTAGCTACCAACATACCCCGTAAGTAATGGATGCGTAGGAGGGTCAAAGTGAAAGAAGTGTATTTCGTTTAGTGCATTTCCCTTTAAGTTTTTTGGTTTTTCTGCACGGATCTCTCTGTCGCTCGTCTTTTACTCATTCGATGGCCCAGTCCAGACGCTATGTCAGGTCTCGCTCGTGAAAAGTCATCCTCTACACTTAGTATTCAAAAAAGTTTTCTTTGGAGAAGTTCTTTGACTGTTTATTTGGTTGGTAACTGATTGTTATTTCATTCTAATCCTGTCACGGTTATTGTCTGGAATGGATGGCTATGAAAATTACAGAAATAGACAGCACAAGCTGCAAAACCGTCCGAAATGTTGTTGGTAATGTGATTGTATTGTAAACTACAGTAGAAAGGATAAAGCTCTCGGCGTTGATCAATCTCTAATGGACGCGCCATGCATTCGGCTTCATCAAGTATCGTTGGAGGTGACTGAATACATATCTGCCCTTCACGATAACTAGTGGTGGCATACCGTTGTATCGAACCAGTGATGCTATCCGCCCAGACAGGTCTGGTAACAATTTGTCGACCCGGAGGGATTAAAGGCTTGGCGAGCCATGGGTGCAGGGGTCAATTCCACGTGTGTGTCGCAATGGCGCCTCCAGCCACTGGGCCACACGCGCCCTTAACGAAAACCACAGTAACACATAGTAAACTGTAGCATACATACCATTCATATCTCTAAGGCGAAAGAGCAAGTTATTCCTATAATCTTCCACGTTCTGAACACATCAGATCCTCTTGTATCGGATCCACAATTGGAACTAGGATGTAATTACATGTTTCAGAGAAAGGCTAGCCACGTTAAAGATGCCGGCAGAGGATGGAATTAGTACAACCGAGTCATTTGATAATAGTACTATGGTCTTTCATAGGAGGAAAAAATGAAGCGGTTCACTAACTGTATTGTGGAACGTAGAAAACAATCTGCGTGTCGTTATCGTAGAAACATTGTCAGTGATTTTGTTCTCTGACCTTATTTATGGATATCGTCTTTTCTGGGTTCTCAAGATATGCGATGTTCTTCTCTCTGAAGTCGGGTTGTATTGTCGAAAGTGTGAACTAGTCTTCTTTTATTCAATTCTAGTCTTGGTTGTTTCCCTAATTTTTATAAATTCTTACCGAAGTTGCTTATATATATATATATATATATAAGAATATATATATATATATATATATATATATATTCTTATATATATATATATATATATAAGCATATATATATATATATATATATATATTCTATGCACTATATGTCCAGAGCCTGAAGAATGTGGTCTCACATAGTAGTCTGCGTGTGGCTCACATGTGATCAATATGTCTTTCTTTTTCAGTGTTTTTCTTAAATTTCCTCTTCCTTTGGCACTTCTTTTCCTACGTACCTGCTTTGTTTTGTCTGTTTTCTGATCACCCTATATTATTGCTATCCATATAATAAAACTTCCCACTTACTACTTTTGATGAGTTGTGTTGTTCAAAAGTGTCCATTTACCTTTGAACTATAACAGAAAAGAACGAATTAGCGCTTTCGTGGTGACCCGTATTTGTTCGCTACACAGGGTACGTAGTGAAATCAACTCGAGCGGTCCGTTGTGCTGTCCTTAGATTGGATATCAACCATCTCATGATTATCAACAAACAATCTTTGTATCAAACAATTGGTACAAAAAACAGAGAACACCAGCAGAACTAATGTGTTTTCATTGGTATAGAACGAGTGGCATTGCCTCACGACTATCGAATAACCAAGCTGCAATGACTTAGGGTAGATTAGCGTCTCCAACCTGGAAACTGAGAACAAAAGCATTTTTATAAACTAAATTTGGCTAGTATTTACGGTTGGGTTGTGAACGAGAGCAGATATCGTCAAAACGATGGCCATTCGTTCATAAAGCTGCTGTAGGATAGAATCTAGTATATAGAAAGAGTACTTTCCGAGCCACAGGGGTCACAGCATGGCTGGAATCGAAGCTAGTAAGTATGTGCAGGAAATCTTATAGAGAAAATTTATGCGAGGACAGAAACCCAGGCCTCGAATAACCTGTGTGTGTCTCACATTTCTCAATGCACTAGCATGGATGTGACTCATACAGAGGTCGTATCTTCTCAGACTTCCTAAGATTTTCTGTTTACTGCTTGTTATTATTTTTTTCAGCAGGGTATGATTTCAAATACATGAAATGCCGCAGAAAGGATAATCGTGGCTCGATCCTGCCTGGGGTCCAAGGTTCGTTAATATCTCAGCTCATCGTGCTTATATTCCTAAGGCTTCTTTTTTATTCAGTTGTTGAGCTAGCAGAATATCGCTTCGGTCTTGGAGGCTAATCAATACTAACAGTAGCGTAGGAGCCAAAATCTGAGTTAAAAGATAGAAAACTGGCCGAGAGAAAGACGAAACGAAGAACCCCCATGGTGTGGTGGTGAACGCGTCATTCCTCGTAAAGCGTAATAGTATGTTCGATTCCCACCACACTACTGCAGTCCGTGGTTTCGCAAATATCTCATCATCATTGTGCTTGCATCCCACATAATACCCTAGCGTAAAAAATTGTAGTAGGGAGTAAATAAAAAGTTAACATTGAGTGAAGAGTGTCTGCATCCATAAAGTAACTGTGCTGGCATTCGCTCACAGAGTAAAAGTAATGGAATCAGCTGGTACTACGATTTTTTCTTCTCCTTTCTTTTTCAATTCTTATTTTTTTTTAAGAAGTACTCGCTTTAACAACAAGAAACCTCTGAAATAATATTGAATTGTGGGAAGAACGTTTGAAATTAGAGAAAAGCGAGCCGATTCTGACCACCTTTGTCCAGACATCTGGAGTTATTCGGTGGGTTCACGTTTTTCTTTCTTCTTGAGTAGACATGTAATTCTTAAGAACAAGATTCTCTACTGGTTTATTACTCAGTGGGACGCTTGTAGCGCAGTGGTCGGAGGTGCGCTATAACACACATGGGATCGATTCCCGCACCCGTGGCCTACCAAGCCTACCATCCCAGCGGAGTCGGCATATTGATACCAGGCTTGTCCGGGAGGATAGCAGCACCGAATCGATACATCCGTAGGCTAGTCACTGTAAATGCTAGATATGCATTCAGTCACCTCCAAACAATGGTTAATGAGGTCAAATGCATGGCGCATCCCTCAGGGATTGACCAACGCCTGGGGCTTTATCCTTAATCTTTATATTGGTTTATTCAATACTTGCAGACCTTTTGATAGTTTCGTCCTTTCTTGTCTATTTCGAGTTGTTTTCTTTTTGAACATCACACTCAGGCATGATGGATTGTTTATCTGAGCCAAGTTTACTTCTTATTCATTAGCTCTCACAGAAGATTATTTCATTTATTTCAGCCCAAGTTACTACAACCCTAATGGTGTCAGTTCGCAATCGAACATAACAGCCTACTTCATCTTGGAGAGTAGACATCTCTCTGCTAGATCGATTTCAGACTGAATCCACTCCTGTGGATGCTGTGGGTCTCAACGTCGTGACTATGGGCAAACGAAAGAGGAACTGTGTCGACAGCGATGAAGCTTCGACTAGCTCTCAGAAATCACAGCGAACTAACAGCAGTGGTAGTAGTACAAGTGGCGAGTGGTTGTGTGCCAGTACCCGGTTGCCACAACCGAACGAAGGTATGCTGATCAGTATATCATTCTCGTGTTTCAAGTGAACTTTCAGGTCCTCCAGTACTTTGTAAGCTTGTCTATCATATCATGTTTTTATAAGCTCTGGTGACTTAACATCGCTGTAGTTTTGTTTCTCACATGTTTTTATTAGTTGGTGGAATGGTCTATATGATTAACTGTTACATCATTTTATCAACGATGGCAACTCAACATGGCTATGATTTTTCTTTTTACACGCCTAACTAAGGGTGCGTGTGGTGCAGTGGTCGGAGGCACCCTGCAACACAGACATGGAATTGATCTCCGCGCCCATGGCCCACCAAGCCTTCCCTCCCTCCGGGGTCGGAAAATTGGTACCAGACTTGTTTGGGAGGATAGCTGCGCTGGCTCGACACATCGGCACGCCACCGCGAGTCATTGTAAAGGCTATATATTCATTCAATCACCTCCAACGATAGTTAGCGAAGTCGAATGCATGGCGCATCCCTCGATTGATCAACGTCGAGATCTTTTTTTATACCTTATTAATTGACACTTTAGAACCCTTTGGCCTTGGAAGCAACGATTCCGCCGACTGTGGTCAGCGTCTTGAGCTTTGCATGACTGGCAATTCAGCTTAACTGCAGTTCATAAAAAATAGTAGGAGATCGAATTACGCAACAATAGAAAGGAATAGAATGGGAAATATACAGTGTGGTTATGGGCGGATATTATAACCCTTTCAATTCGAGGTTTCTCTTGAAATGGGATGTTTATATCTGGGTTTACTTTACCAAAAACGGCAGAACTTCGCAAAGTTTGCAGGAATTTCTTGAGTAGAATGGTGTAATACCAGATGCTTTATTATGTGTTCAATATTTTTCATGGTTAATACTTTTCTTTTTTACTAAAAATAGTTTTAAGTTTTAGTTTTACGACGTCGCAACCACTTTCCTGAGTTCCCTTGGTTTTTATATTATTGGTTTTGTAATCATATACGGTTTCACTTTGTCATTTGTAGGTCGGCGGCATTTTCAGTAGCTTCCAAGGGAACTCTTGTATTGGATGCTTTCTATTTTGCGT